ACTGTTTCAAATTCAAAATCAATTTTAAAATTGTGATTATAGTTCTTGCTCGGTTGTTAATACGGGACCAAAGTAGAGTAACAAGTGTGAACATTTTGGGCAAGAAAGTACTTGAATTTCATACTGTATTGATAGCAAATAGAATCAAAATCAAGGGATCTGCAGTTTTACACAGGCAACTTTAACATGTCATGTAACTTAATTAGAATAGTGAGATAAGGAGTATACAGTAGACACTGTAGACAACATAAACAAATGCATAACATTACATATATATAACTCTAGTTAGTTAAAAAAAACTAGCATGATAATGGAAGAGGAAGTCCGAGAAAAATAACACCCCTTTCCCTTTTACACACACCATTCAGAAAAGCAACAACAGCAGTAGCAAAACCAACAACATTAGCAGCAGCAACAACAACAACAACAACAAAATAACACAGATGCATGTAATGGCTCATAAGTATGAAGTGATATTCATCTTCAACATTTCCGGTGTATTAACAAACTTGACATATTCTATGAAAACTGCAAGCGTGTGCAATAAATATTCTTGTCATTTAAAAGCGAAAAGCGAAGGGTTTAATATCTTAATTGAAAATTAATAACTACTTTACCACCATGTTTAATAAAGATATCAAATTTCAAAAATTATCTTTTGCCTACACGCAAGACAAAATTGTGGCATTTGTACAGGCCTTCTTTGGCATTGTGCCAAATGAAATTTTGTTTTACCCCGTGTACTTCCCTTAAATCAAACATTTTTTAGTATTTATTACAATTTATAAATTCAATATAACATGCTGAATGGTAAATACCAGGCAGTTTTAAAATTATCGCGAAACAATACCTCCTTTTGTAAATTTATTGCAGAAAATACCGATTGACAAAACGCATTAAATTAGTGTAATGGGGGTATTTCTATTCATCATTCAGTGCACAAGCGTTTATTATTTTCAAAAAATATGCATCAAAGTTTCTTGTAGACACATTTGAGAGCTCACAATGCATTAAATTTTACTCCTATCTTAAGCCAGCACTTTTAAATAATTCTCTAAATGTGAGAAAACTCACTGAGCGTACAATATTCCGAGTTTTTCTCACCCCAGGTGGGGTTATTGTGGTTCGCACGGAACGATATTCACGTTCTTACTTTAATGCACTTTGTAGCAAGTCAAAATTTGCTAGTTTTAGCGAAAAAATAGTAAAATTTTTATTAATTGCCTTGAAAAAAGTGATTCTATAATAACTCTTTAGGGACTTTAGGTAATTTAGGTAATTTAGATATTCTGTTTTATTAATAAACAGTTGTAATTATACTGGATACTAAATTTTTCTGCTTTATCTTTAATTTAATAGTGTCTACTAGGCCGTTATTTGTTATCACTGGTACAATATGAAAAGGCCTGCAAACCACGAGATTTGAAAAATCTCAGGAGTATTTTTGGTCAGTGTTTATGCTGTGATGGAGATACCTGAGATCTCAGTTTGAGATTTTTGAAAGCTTCGTCCTCTTACCAATACAACCCCCTTTCCCACCCCCCCCCCCCAAAAAAAAAAAAGAAAGAAAAAAGATAAAAAAATCAGGGCCAAATAAGACAAAATAATTGCCTTAAATTCGTAAATATTAATATGGAATACATACATGTATTAAAATTATATTGTTATTTAATAACAAGAAACAAAAGAGTGATAATAGATAGAATCAGTTATCACATCTGTAAAGAAACTAATCATAATGGTTTTATCATGAATTAAGTTTTATTTTAGTTCATGATAACGAGATGACAATTTATCGAAAGTTTTAAAAAAATGTTGATAGAATCAATTACCAGATAAGTAATAAATTATTAAACGATAAATGGTTTTGAAATTGTACGTTCATTTCAGTCAGATATATATACATGATTATAAGATGATGAAGGCAGCCCTAACTTGAGATATACATAGATGAAACATGATTATTTTGAGATAAAAGTGAAGTTATAATCTTACAACTAGTTAACAGCATATCTTTCTAGATAATGTTGAAGATTTTCTAACACAAAGAATATTGCAAAGCTACAAATAAATAGTTAAGATTTTTCTTTACGAAATAATCAAAATATTTTAAAAATGGTTGTTAAAACAAAGGGCAAAACGGCAATTATTCATGATCAATTTTGTCTTTTTAGCATTACCCCATTATTCCATAGAGATGATTATTACATAATTGACATTTATCATATATCATGAATAAGATGTTTACATTCAAACGGTCTTCATACATTTAAGTTATATAAATTTTGATAGAAAGTATTTCAAGCAATTAAAGATTGGCACGTGAACAATATAAGTAATTTACTAATTGCAATCGGTGCTTTCAGTCCACGTTAATTACTAAAAAGAGGTCAAATTATGCAAAAGTATCCCTTACTGCGTTAGCAACGCGGTAGAAATATGGTGATAAACACTGCAAAATCAGTCATTAATCGCAGTTAACAAGTGAAATATTACTTGAATCATTTTACTTCTCTTTAAAATCTACGTACATTTGTCTCCAGTTTGATTTTCTTGAAATAGTTTGGGGCCTCTCGGGAGGAAATCCCAACCCTTTCAACAAAAACCCCAAAACTTAAAGCTACGTTTTTAAAAGGGCCCCAAAAAACAACAAAAAACCCCAATTATAAAAAATAACCGGGTTGTAAAAAATTTTTAAAAAAATGTCCCTGTTATTTTGACACAAATTTTTCTTACGTTTCATATTTATTCTAGTATTTAACTGATTTGATTGTATAGTTATGTTCCTCATCCTCCATCCTCCCAGCTGCATGTAATTGTTATCATTTAAACAGTATCATCAACAAAGATAAGGAGAAAAAACAAGTTGAAAAGAGATGCGAGTTTGTACCGTTTGACATTGGAAACCATCCAGTTTCTCACATTAGTTTTGTTAAAAACATTCGATTCACTGATATTGAATTAAACATGCATTCGTTTTCATTTCAATTAAGAACCGTTTTAGAAATATCCGTGAAAGAAAAAGTAACGTTTTTCGGTGTTTTAACTTAATTTGTTTTTATTAGATGGTTTGTCTTTTTGTAATGTCTTTGGCCTTTGTATCTTTTGTACCCCTTCCAACAATCGTTTTTTGTTTGTTTGTTTTTTGTTTTGGTTTTTTGTTGTTGTTGTTGTTGTTGTTTTGTGTATTTCCCCTCTTGTTTCCTTTGCTCTTTTATAATACATAACAACGTTCGACAACGATGGTCAAGTTTTATTCGGCAGAAAATGTTAAGAAGTCGTCTGGTAGACGATGACGGACGTGCCGGCCTCGTTTCCATGTTCCCATTTATCATCTTGGTAATCTAATATTCAACAGAGAGATAAATGAACCCGGCAAACATTTCCGACATAAATTCAACATTAACAATTTAAAAATCTGACAGTACAAGATACGTCTGTAACAAATATATTATGTCATTAATAACTCTAAAATAATTAGATTTATATAACCGCTAATATGTTAGGTAGTCTGTAGGAAGTGCCAATCAGATTTCATTTTTCTTTCTTTAAAAATAAAAACATTTATTTTGTTAAGAAATTTTTTATTATAATTTGCTTAAACTTGAGACGGAAAACTGTCAGAAACTGTTTCTTATTAAAGTTTCTCTTGGTTATTCTATTACTAAAGAGAAAAAGTCTCCCTTAGATTATTTTACACTCAGATAAGATTTTTTTGTAAGCAAACAGTCGAACACATAACTTTGAGCAGACGACATGCAAAAGTGCACGTGAAAATTCTTTATGAAGAGATAATTATGCATGTATATAAATTTTATTTTTTGCCTAGTCATGTGATATTGAAATTTAATAAGTGTTATGTATTTTGCCTGTAAGATTTGTTTTTCAACGCATGATATTTTCAAGGAAAAATAAGCATAAAAACGGCAAGATCACCGCTTGACGGGACTATTTTATATCAAATGTATGTTATAAAAAATGCGTAATGGTTATATTGCAATAGAAAAAAATCTACGCAATGTTATTAATTGAAATATAAACCAAAATGTTATGAGATTTTACAGATAAATCAGAATGGGAAATCTTATGTGAAAAAAGTCTTTTTTAAGGAATAATTACAGAATAGGAGTTCTTATTCCTTAATTTTGATGGTGGATTTTCCCCATTATTTTCATGGTTAAGTTTCAAGAACTATATTACGTTGTACACCCGTTTTAGATAATACATATTGTTTAGAATGAAAAATAATTCATTCAAATGATGAATGCAAAATTCCTAAATTAAAACTAATAGAATCAACGTTTTGTTTTTCTGTCTGCCCGTTCGTAAAAAAAGTTTATTTTTATGGAAAATGCTAAGAATCTTTCGGATGCAAGAATTCTTAAGTGGTAGACAAATGGATGGCTAATAGGCCATTTATGCCAAAACTAATTTATAACAACAGTGCAGATTCTTTGTTGATTGTTTGTTACAAACTACTTATATTTTCAAGCATATTTTAGAATCGCTTCTATTTAAATAAAAAGCTTTTTGTTGCAAGCCAAGATCTTCACGAATTATAAATTTCTAACAAAGCGATTATATTTCTAAAAATTCGTATTTATAGATCTAATATAGATACAATTAATTATGCTTTAAAAATGCTATAATTTTCATTTTTCAAAAAACTTTCCATTTCTTGGTATATTGTCTAAGTTTCCAAAAAAGTACTCATTTGCCATATACATAAACTATCATTTTGGTCATTTTGCTCCGATAGCAAATGGTATATTTAGTGAATTAGTATTTTGTATGGAAAATGTATACATTTTGCAGTCTTTACAATACATCACTACATGTTCAGCGTTTCTTTTTTTCCAGTCGTTGAATATCTAACATGCTCTTAAACCATAATTTAAATATTATTAAACACATGTTTGGCATTTATAAAGAATTTAAAAAATATGGATTTCTGAGGCATAATGGGCCTTTAATGTATCAATTTTATCATATATTTTCAGAAAGCCTCTCCAAAAGACGAGGAAGACGAGAATGTTTCCCCCTCTCAAAGTAAAAAGGACAAAAGAAGTGGGTGGCCCGAACATGTTTGGGCATCAGAACTGAAGCCATCCGAATGAAGCGTTCGTGGAAATTAAAACGTGAAGCAAACCGGACGGGCGGCAGGTTAGCTCGTGAAGAATAAATTGAGGGTTAGGAGAAAGAACTTCTCTGCCATTTCAGTATTTAGCTTACTAAAATGTTGTATTCAATACCTGGGACCAAAAAACGAGAAAAAAACTGTTAATTTTATTTAAATTGCTTATGAATTGTTGACAATCAGAAAGAAGTTTGTCTCCGAACTAATGGATTGCTAAATATATGGAAACATGTTCATAACACAAAGAAAACAAAGGTTGTTGCAGTGTTCTTTTTCAGGATTCTAATAAAGACTTTATTGTTGTGGATATATGGTTGTTGTTAAAATGTTGAATTTTAATCAATTTATACTTTATTATTTTACACTTATTTTAATTTATATTTAGAAGCAATAAAATATATAACTTGACATATTTTTCCTCTCATATACTCATGTATTCAAATCTTTTACTTATTCACCCGAACTTTATGAAGTACAAATTGATTTATATACAGGATATATAAACTGTTTTATTCCTTAACCCAAATTAAATTCATGTACAGAAAGATGATTTATTGAAAACAATATTCCCTTAATATTCCGGGAAAATACGGTGACAATTTTGATTGATATGCCATGACATTTATACTTATCATGCCAGCATGAAGTCATTATTACGCTCATAAAAATGTTGTCATAGAGTATTAATAACTGCTCCCCTCTCTCCAACTACTGATTAGTCCCTACCGGGTTCCCGCGTTTACTAAATGGAATAGGCGACGCTCTCGCTGAGGCGGCAGCCTAGCAGACGATAATAGTGAAAATTTAAAATTTGAAGCATTTCGTATAATCAAGTTTGAAATATGAGTGTCAATCAAATCGAGTTAATTGCCGGAGTTTTGTCATTTTTCTATGAGAAAAAATATCTACGAATGCATTAAGTAACGATATCATTCCACGGAAGTTTTAGCAGACGAACTTTATGTACAACATCTTTTTGGAATTTGAGGCTCTGCGAACATGCATTAATATCTCAAATATGTTAGAAACGTTGTGCGAACATACAAAAATATAATGATAAAAAAGTTTTTGCAGTAAAAAATGATATGCTTAACGGTGAAAAACAAAGAATTCATTTCAATAAATGACCCTAAATAATTGCACGCAGACGATAAATAATCTGATATAATCTAAGGTACATGTCATGTTTATCAAAATGGAATGGTTCTGCACGATTGAAAGATAATCAGATGAGCATCTCAATTAAAACATGTAAAAAATGTAGAAATATATTGACCCAACATTATAGTTCCGCCCCAGGTGAGCCCCCACAGGTGTACAAAATGACCCGTGCACAACGTGCAAAACTCATACAATCAAATTACTGCCTCATTCCAAAGTGTTGTATTAAATATAATAATAAGATTATGTTGCAACTTCATTAATATGATAATAATTTTTCATCGGAATTATAATGAGTTTATTATAAATTTTAATTACAAATAAGAAGAAAAAAAAACAACACAGAAACACTCAAACCCAAAATTGTGTAAATGCAAATTTGAATGACTTCAATGATTGCTAATTTATTTCTTAATTATATAATGTTTATTGTAGACGTAAATGTAGTCAAATTATAGATCCAATGCGTTTTAAGTTTTTCACTGATTTGTAAATACATGAACACTTGTAAAAAGATCCCCCCCCCAAAAAAAAAATAAAAAAAATAAAAATAAAATTAAAAATTGACATATATAATGTATGTATTAATTGAGTCACGTAAAAGCAGTACATGTATTCTCACAGACTTCGTGATAATGTATGTGAAACATACTAAACGTTTTACATCTTGATTTGAATACTCTAGTATCACGTGCATTATATTGAATTGTTTTATGAAAAACTTATTTACCATATAACGCCCATTTGTTCATGTAAAAATCTTTTAAGTCAGTTTATATGATTTGAATATAAAGAAAAGAGTGAACAGAAAATACGCACGCTTTTAGCCATGTTACCTTTAGTCATTAGATTACTAGATTCCATAATTCGACCTTCCTCTCCGCACATGACAGTCTATATCATGCTGTTTTTGGAATTAAACCATTTAATTGGTATAGTAAGAAATGTAGGAGAAAATTCTTTCTCAAGGAAGTATAACTTGAATTCAGGACCTCTCGTGGAATTATACAACGCCATTGGTAAAGCAAGCATTGTAGAAGAAAATTCTTGCTAAAGAAAGACTAAAGTGTACTTGATAAGACTCGAATTCGTGACCTCTTGTGAAATTATACCACGCCATGGGTGAAGCAAGCAATATAGAAGACATTTTTTGCCCAAGAAATCTAGTGTACTTGATAAGACTTGAATTCTTAACCTCTTGTGCTCATTGGTAGAGTGAGCAATGTAGAAGAAATTTCTTGCTCAAGAAAGTCAAAAGTGTACTTGATAAAGACTTGAATTCGGGACTTCTTGTGTCCTATCGTTTGACAATTGCTTCCCATAAAGGGTAGAACAGCAGACGACATAGTGCAGACGTAAAGTCTCGTCTGCACGCCACACAGCCGATATCTAAAGTAAATGAGCACTCCTAAATCTTGCTAAGATGGCCATTACCTTCTATAATTTTCTAATATAGATTAGCCTGGCTGTAAAATATTAATCTTTTAACAAGCAATATTCAGGAAACTAAAATAAGCATCGTCCATGGAATAAAGAAAATGGAGGCTTATAAACAGGAATAATTTACAAATTTGCTCATATTGCCTTGCAGACGACACAGAAACAAACTTCAGGTCTATATTAAATCTTGTGTTCTTACATGATATTTATTTATTTTTGTGTATATGTAAGAGTTCCAAGCAAACTCAATTTTATAATTCTATACAGAGATAGATTAAATAGGTATGATTAACGTATGTTAAGAACATGTCGTTTAAACAAAAAAAGTTAAATTCGATGCAGTTTCATTTTCAGAATATTTCGTAAAAATGACGCAACAATCTAGTAAAAAAAACTGTTCGAACGAGAAAATCTAATGCTGTCATTTGACTTTGCTTTGATGACAGACACAAGAGTGCAATGAAAATACAAAATGGCAACACGGTTTTGACTGAAAAAATGAACTGTACGTCCTTGCGAATATACTGTAAAATCATTTTTATTCGTGGGGCACGAATTTTCGTGGTTTTCGTGGGTAGGTCAATCCACGTATTTAAGATCCAACGAAATTTTGTCCCAATAAATACTTCTGGCTATGTCTCTATTCTATATATTACAAACATGCATCAGCGCTTTTTCCGCCGATTTTTGTGTAATGAATTTATTGAAGCGCTATCTGATACGTAAAGATAATGTACATGCGGTAAGTAAAATGCGCGGCGATTAAGTGTAAGATTACTTTGCGTTAGGTTATTTTTTTTTCAAGCAATTGAAAATCCATGAATTTAAGAACCCACGAAAATGCCCATTTTGATAAAACCACGAAATTTCATGCCCTCGAATATAAGTGAATTCGCAGTACACGTCATACGATGTCCTTTACAAGCTAGATTTCCTTTAAAAAGCATTTGTTGGGTTAACTATTTTGTTATTTATGTCAACAAACTTAACAGTCATCGTCAAACAATCAAACAGTTAACCATGTTTATAGATACTGGCTTACGTAGTGCAATGTGAACTCTACAAATTTCTCAAAAAAAAAAAAAAAAAAAAATAGTACAGTAAATGTTACTGTAGAGATTTGTTGGAGGACAAATCCTTAACATATTGAGTGGTTTTCTCGGCATGATCCTAATTCCAAGGGGATATCAACATTTTGTCTGCTAGGGTCTTTCCATGCAATCTGTACAGACCAAGGGTTGTCGGCATATCCGCACCGTCTGACCATGGTCTGCACTGTTTGTTAATCCTTGTTAATCCGTCTGTATACATTTCCTAACAGTAGATTTGCGAAACAAAACTATAAATTCGTCAATAAAATGAAAGAAATGAATAAATAAATAAATAAACAAATAAAACAACGAAATGATCATTTTCTCTCAAATTACTTTGTAACTTAAGTGTTATAATAGAAACATTCTCAGAAAAATGGTTACTGTAGAATGAAATATACAGGACTCAATTTAACATAAAGGCTTAGTTGGCAAAAATGTATCTTATTTTAGTAAAAATGAAAAATAAAACAGTATGTGTCCATTTCATAATCAGCCATTTACTTAATCATAACATGCCCAGTGCAGTTTGAGCAGACGACACACTATTTATTTGTTGCTAAATTTTAGAATTTGGAGTTTGAAATTCATTAGATAAATCATTACATTCAAAAGCAATGCAAGACTAGTAAAGTAATTGTTAACAATATTTACAGTACACACCTGGTCAATTTCCAAAAAAATTGAAACTTACGAGCTTGAAATGTCATTATAATCATTAATTAGTGCATTAATTAGTGAGTGAATTAAGTATACAACGCTAATAAAAGCTGACGCATGCAAGATCGCGAGACAGAAGATGTATTTAATGTATGGGACTTTTGATTAAAAGATGTGGAAACCGCAGAATTTCAGAGGTTGAAATATTGATCGCCGCTGACAGACGAGACTTTGCGAGAGTTTCAGGCAATTAACATTTGTCAGGCTGTGTTTCAAGCAGCATGTAAAACAATAATGTAATTAACTGATTACCAGAGTGCACCCTGGGAGTCTACTTCTGCACGCGAACTTTCCCGCCTTTCTAGTGCGTGGAAAAAAAGAAATACGAAATGGTATTAGATAATTACCTGTTTCATTATAGGTTTTTTTTTTATACAATTAAAGTTTTGATGAAACTAGAAGGTCTGACAGATAGGATTATAAAGTCATGATATGCTATGTTTTTCCAACAGTCGAAATAACGAAACGGTGAAAGGTCTGAAGTACGATGGTGAAAACGCGAAATTATATGTTGGACTTTTTACCATCGTACTCT